GGGGAGGAAGGAAGGAGTCGGAGGAAGGAAGGAATCGAGGGAAGGAAGGAGTCAGGCTGGAAGAAAGGAAGGAAGGAGTTGGAGGGAGGAAGGAATCGAGGGAAGGAAGGAAGGAGTCAGACAAGGAAGGAAGGAGTCGGAGGAAAGGAGGAAAGAGTCAGTTGAGGGGAGGAGGGAGGAAGGAAGGAATCGAGGGAAGGAAGGAAGGAGTCAGACAGGATGGGAGGAAGGAAGGAAAGGAGTCAAGGTAGGTGGGAGGAAGGAAGGAGTCAGACAAGGAAGGAAGGAGTCGGAGGGAGGAAGGAAGGAGTCAGATGAGGGAGGAAGGAGTCGGAGGAAGGAAGGAATCGAGGGAAGGAAGGAGTCAGACAGGCTGGAAGAAAGGGAGGAAGGAGTCGGAGGGAGGAAGGAAAGAGTCAGATGAGGAAGGAAGGAGTCGGAGGGAGGGAGGAATCGAGGGAAGGAAGGAAGGAGTCAGAGGAAGGGAGGAATCGAGGGAAGGAAGGAAGGAGTCAGACAAGGAAGGAAGGAGTCGGAGGGAAGGAGGAAAGAGTCAGTCGAGGGGAGGAGGGAGGAAGGAAGGAATCGAGGGAAGGAAGGAGTCAGACAGGCTGGAAGAAAGGAAGGAAGGAGTCGGAGGGAGGAAGGAAGGCATCGTAAGGAGAAAGGAAGGAAGGAGTCAAGGCAGGGAAAGTGGGAGGAAGGAAGGAAGAAAAGAGGGAGGGAGGGAGGAATGACTGCATGCTAACACTTTCTACAAGAATCCAAACTACTAACAGTCAAAGCAAATGGGTGGTAGATCTAAGAGTCAGCAGAATTCAAGGGGGGCTGGACTTGGCTTTCTTGTGGGTGCAAAGGGACTCGAGACTGATGCCGCCTTTGACCCTTCCCTTGGGCTCAGCCCTGCAGACGCCCAACAGCCCGTCTTTCTTTCTTTCTTTCCGTAGGAGGAATACGACGACATTGTGATCAATTGTGGCCACTAGAAGGGAGCCCTTTGGCCCCACGCCGGACTCCACAGAAAGTGCCCTCTGGTGGATTATCTGGCTAGGATAATCTCTGTAGCAACTGCATCTTCACTGTGAGCTAGATGTGAAAACTTATTTATAAAGGCCGGGATGAAAGGGGAAGCGGCCTCCCCAGGTGGCCCCATTCCGACGCCTACCCTCCTCCTCCGTTCTTTTGTCCTGCTTCAGAAACGGGATGTCTCCTCCTCTTTGATGTCTCCCCCTTGGCCGCCTTGATGTTTCAGAATCAGTAGATTTGGGTTTCCGTTGTCATTAGCACGTGGCCGGCGTGTGTCCTGAGCACAGCCTAGTTGCGCAAAGGCCTCGTCTAGTCCATCTCTTTCTGGAGCACACACACACACACACACACCCCGCTTTCCCGGGAATTCTCACGGTCAGATTCGGGGTGTCCCTCCCTCCCTTAACGTTGGATCCCGGTCCGTGGATCTTGTTCTGGAGAGCTGGATGGTCTGGGGCTCTTGCGGAGGGGGGAGGGGGTTTCCCGCCTCTCGCGGTGTGGAGAGTTGGAGAACTGCCAAGCGCCAACAGCCAGATCCACAGGTGAAGAGTTCAAATTAGCGACTTCCTTGCTGGCGCCTCTCATACAGGAATCTGCCCAGATTGCCAGTTTGCACCTGGCTCGGAGAAAGTTCAACAGCATCCGAGAAGCTCCGACTTCGCCCTTTTGTGCCTCCACAGAGATTCCAGACTAGTTCCCCCGCTTGACTCCTCCCCCTGGCTCGGCCAATGTCTTCCCAACAAGAATAAGGTCCCCCCATCCTGGCACAAGGAAAGTTGTCCTCTGCGCGACGTGGTTTTCAACTCACCGTCACCCCCACCGGGCATGAGATGGTGGACCGGCTGGAATCCTAAATATCTGGGTCAATTTTTATCCAGGGCTTAGCAAAACGCAACCTTTGGGGGGAGCCTCATAGCAGATGGGGGGG